TCCACGCCCATTCGCCCACAAGACTCGCCGATCACGGCCAGAAGCCAGCCAGATGTCAGCGTGGTGGCCATGCGCCAATGCCGAGCAAGCCAGCAGCACTGGCCCAGCCTACCTCATGCCCTCTGTCAAGCGCCTACACCCGCCACGTCGCGTCTGCCTCCCCCTCCTCCATCTCATTTTCTCTCTCGCTCGGCAGCCGCAACGGCAGCAGCGCACGCTCGCCTCCGCCACCGCCGCGCTGCCTCGCCGGAATCGACTCGCCCGGCCACCACTGCTCGTCGTAGGCCGCTCCATCTCACCGGCAGCTTCGCCTCCACCTCGCGCAGCTTGTGCTCATCTCCGTTCGACGTGGTAAGGCTCGAGCCGGTCGCTATTGCTCGCCGGAGCACGGCCGTTCTCACCGGAGCAGCACGGCTCCGTGGATCTCCCCTTCTCGCTCCCTTTTTCCTTCCGTTTTCGCGCGCGTTAGCACCGCCTTGCCCCCGCGAACCTCGTGCGCGCCTCCCCGTGCCCTGCCGTAGCCGGAGTCGGCGTACCACCGATGAGCCGCGCCACCGCTTCGCCATGCGTGCCGTCGAGCTCCCTTCCGAGCTCCTCTAGTGCCTGTTCTTGGCGCATCGGGTCTGCCTCGTTGCGGGGAGCCCCTGGTGGTGACCTCACCGCCAGCGAGCTCACCGGCGACGAAAGACGGCCGATCAGCGACGGCCCCTGCTCGGCTCCGGCTGACGCGTGGGCCCGGATTGACCATGGGTCCCGCCTGGCAGCACCTCTGGGTGCACTGCACCGGGTACACCTAGCAGTTTTGGGTCGGTGGAATTTCAGTTTTAAAGAAAATGATTTCAAAAATTAATTTAAAAAGCTTGTAAAATGTATATCTCGAGTTATATTGCTCCAAAATTGATGAAACAAATTTTGTTGTGTTTCTTGTCACCAGATCTACATGATAAAAATATTGCATGTCATTTTTTAGATACTTTAATGTAGGGCTTTATTTAATTCTTGATATTGCTGATATCTTGTGAAAGGTTTAGTAAATCCTATATGTATCAGAAAATTATGATTCCAATTTGGTTGATCTATTCTTGAGATGTACTTTTTGTGAAAAATTATATGCCATGCATGTCCTGTAGAAAAATTATGAGGTGTAGTTCAAGTGCCTTTAATGGCTGATTTTTATTATTTTTGCTAGAGAGCAAAAATTGTATAAAACATGCATGTGATAATTTTTGTACAGTGATTGTATGCTATGAAGATCATGAGAAAAATACTAAATCTGTTGTTTGACACTTTTCATAATACAAAGTATTATCATGCTCATCTACCTTGCATGCAAGCATATTCATTGTGTTCATTTTATCCGATGCACCTTTTGCATAAGCACTTACGCACCTGCATCATACAGGATCGCAAACCGAGAGCCCGGTCGTCGTACCCGAGGAGCCCGAGGAGCAGCTCGAGGTGCAGCCGCAAGAAGTGACCGGAGCAGACGAGGAGGACGTTGAGGAACTTCCGGAGTGCCCCAATCACCGCCCGAGCTCCTTCGAGAGAGGCAAGCCCCAGAGCATTTTTCTCCCTGGTTTGCAATTATTAATTAATGCTTTACTTTAATTGATGTATTACGTTCAGGAGTTGTTTGCAACTGTTGCTGCATTATACCTTGTTTATCTTTGTTATACTATATCCTTGTTACCCTGGTATCCGCAGTCGAGTCAATGCTTAGCTGGCTTAGACCGGTAGAAGTCGGGTGATTTCCTATCACATGCGAGCTATAGGTGGTTACCTAGATCTGCTCGGATAACTATGTAGTCATGGTATAACTAAGTGTTAATTTGAAGTTGAGACCGGACGAAGACTTACAGGGTTTTGGACTGTAGTGCTTTCCGTCTGTGTCGATTAAGGACCGACCATTGTTAGGCCTCGGGTCATGTTGAACGCATGCCTTACATTTAGCTGGCCGAATAACGTACCTTTCGATCACGAAGCTGGGAGATTATTCGGGCCAAGTGGATTGCGCGCAGCGCACTATACCAGAGCAGGTGTGGTAGGACACGGGGGCGCGATGATAAGACCGAAAGGCAGTCGGTCGGCCCCCGGGTACATGTGGTTCCTGGGAAACTCGAGATTTTTCCTGGATAGTTGACTCGGTGACCGATACCTCACTTTAGCGGGTGAGTGAGGTTTGTGTAAGGAATAAATTATCAACTAGTTAATAATCGATTCGAATCGCCATCGTTCACTGGATAGTGAACACTTGACTTGAGTTACTTCATCGTAGTAATGTTGATGGAACACTTGGATAGTTATAATGGATATGACATTATGGAAGTTGTTAATGATCATTGGTTATTATTATTTGCTTAATCACATGCTTGCTCTAGTATAGGTGCAAATGTAGTCGACAGGTTAATAATAATTAACTTGACAATAATGCTTTTGGAAAGGTTCTTGAAATGCTAAAATGTTTTTTTTGCAAATGAGTCAGCTACCCTACTATAAAGCCCTTCATAATACTTGGTGTCACTTTATTTTTGGTTATGTCAGGTAAGTCTAGCGGAGTACCTTCTCGTACTCGGGGTTTTGTTCCCACTTGTTGCAGATGGGCAGATGGATTACGGCTACTGTATCAATTGCCTTTATCCTGCAATGGGTGATGCTTAGGACCATGGGCGTGGTCATTCCTTACGTCTCATCTAATGCTTTTGTTGGAGATGATCATCAGCTGGCACTGTATTTGAACTCCGTGTGAGTGTGTGTGGTTTTGAACAAATGGCTTCCGCTACTTCTATTTGAACTCGTGTTGTAATAACTATGTTTAAACTCCGATGTACCTATGATGCGAACTTTTATGTAATATGTGATGGTGACCGCTAAACTTCTTACGATCTTGGCTGGTATGTGAGTTGGTTTGAAATCCTTTGTGATTTCACGGACTACCGGGTTATACAGGCTTAAGTTTGCTAAATCGTCTGCTCTGGCGGGTGATTTTCTTACTTAATTTCGTATAATTGGTCGGTTCTGTTACATGTATAGCCATAGCAACATATGTAACTCAGATCCACTTTTGTAACATAAGTCTGAAAACATCCGAACTACATGAAAACAAACACTTAAAACATGTGTGTGCAGCCATAGCAAACATATGCAACATTTAGACGAAAATACTTGAAACATACATCTGAAACAACTCAAACACTTTGAACATAGGATTGAAACATGCGTATATTGTCAATGCAAAATATGAAACATCCCAGATATACTTTTGTAACATCTAGATGAAAACATTTAAAACATAAGTCCGAAACGTTGAAACACTTGAAACATAGCGTCGTCGGCGACCACAACCTACCTAGTAGGGAACTCTGGTAGCTAGCAAGCTCGGGTTAGTAGGACGTCGAGAGCAACGGTCCAGTGTACACCCCAAGCGCAGCGCGCAGGCCTCCCCTTCCTGCCGATGGGCACGTTGGATGGGGGTTACATGCACAGGCCTCCCCTACCTCCCCTACCTCTCCTTCTACGACGAGCAAGGTGGATGGGCATGGCGCGGGGCGCAGAACAGTGCGGGATGTGGCCGGGCGCGGCGGCGAATAGGAAGGTGGGCGGGAGGTGCCCACGGAGCGCAGTCACGAACTCGCGACACTGTGGTGATATTTTTTAAGAAAGCCTCGTGGGCATCGCGGCCCACCAACGAGGCCGTTCGGACGGATGGACATCCTAGACAAAGCTTTACCTATGTTATTATAGTACCTTTCTAAAATGAAAAATTAGATTTCTACAACAAATGTTAATTAAAAGTTTGGAAAGTCCTCAATGAGGGGGTCTAAAAAATCGTGGTGGGGACACTTTTAGCAGGGGTGGAGCTTCCCTCGGCAAAATTGGGTGATGGCCTCTAAAAAATGGAATGACTTTTGATTTAGAAGGGAGAAAATACAAATTTGATATTATTTTAATCAAATATAATATCTATTAATTGTAAATTTATAATTATCAAAATATAATGTAAAATAAATAAATAGTAAAAAAATAATTTAGAAAGCCATGTTTTCCGAGTATGACTTGTAAACTGGACGGATAAAGTACTTAGTAGTTTGAAAAATATATAGATGTCTGACTTACAAAGCGGAGACAACTAACGTCATGTTCGTTTGGGTTTGTTTGGCTTATAAACTATATTTTTCACCAACGAATAATATTTTTCTCTCACACTAAATCAGCCAACAGTACTTTCAGCCATAACTTATCAGCCAAACAAGCCCAAATGAATAGGGCGTAAACGTGGAACATTTCTAGGGGCACGCTCACTGTAGTATATAAGGTAGTTACTAGCTTTAAGAAAATTTCTTCAATAATATTAACTTTTAGCTATAATTTTTAGTGCATAGCTCATAATATGAATAAGCTCACATGACTGTTACATAATTTTAAAATATGTGTACAAATCTAGTTCTTATCTAGAGATAGCTTTTCTCTTCTTGTATTAAATTAATATTACGCTTAGAGCTACCTTATAAGTCACCATTAGAGTTATCCTAATTATCATTTAAAGAGTCATTTAAATAAAAATTGTTCTCTATATCTTTCCACCTTCTAATGACTCATCTATATCTTATACACAAATCTAAAAGACATCCGTTCTTTTATTTTTGGCTAATGAGAAATTTTAAATAAAAGAAAATATCATTTAAAGATCTAATTAAAAAAAAAGGCTGTCTGCGTGGCTGAGGCGGCATCGCCAGTAAAGCCAGACAGCCCGAGGATCTTCTCTCGTTTTTTCTTTTCTTTTCTGGCTAGCAGCCTAGCAGTCTAGCAGCACCTGGCTGAGGCGGCATCGCTAGCTGTCCGCGTCGCTCGCTCCTCTCCCTCCGTCCGCCGCACCGTCGCCGAGCGCCGCCCCGCGCCGGAGACGTCCTGCCTTCTTGCCGCCGACGAGCGCCGCCCCGCTGTCCCTTCCGCGGTTCCGCCCCAGCCTCTGCGTCCGAATCTCCCACGAAGCTGTCAAGGCGATGGCGGCGACCGGCGGCGTTTCAGCTGACGATGTCCCGATCCTGCAGGCAGAGAACCTCACCAGCAACGTCAAGTCCATCTACTACAGGTCTGCCTCTCTCTTCCTCCGCCCCCTCCCCATGCGCTCGATCCGATCTGGAGGTGCGCTTAGTTTAATGTTAGGTTTGATCTGGATTTAGCGAGATCTCTTGGACTGGTAGCCTAACCACGGGGTAATTTACGTCCCCTGTATATTGGGGAGTTTTGCTGGTAAAGGTTGGACTATAGAGTGTTTAAATGCTGATCAGAGAGGAAGAAGGGAGTTGTGAGTTCATAAATTGAAATATCTTTTCCTACAATTTTGATGTCAAGTTGCAGAGGGATTTGGTCAATTTTGTTATAGGTGAATTGCTCCTTTCTATAGATGCCTAGTTGAATCTGCTACTTATAATTAACTGGATTTGAGTTGCTCTTCGTGCTATTACATTGCTAGGCCTAGGGACTAGGGATTAAATTCTGCAATGCTTGACGAATAGTGAAGTTCGTACTGTTATCCATGAGCACTGAGCTATTATCTGCTAAGACTTGTGTATTCTGTTGAGAAGTGAGAACTGCCCCTTTGATTCGCTAGAGTTGTGAGTTGATAACTTGAAATATTTTTTCCTACAAGTTGTGGAGGTCACTTTTGAGAGATTTAGTAAATATTAACTGTTTTGTGACCGGTTAGTTGCTCCTTTCTATGTTGAATTATCTGGATCCGCTTTGTTCTCCATGCTATTACATTGCTAGGCCTAAGAACTAGGGATTGAATTCCATGATGCTTGATGAATAGTGAAGTTCATGCTGTTATCCATGAGCACTGAGCAGTTATCTGATATGACTTTTTAATTCTGTTGAGAGGTGAGAACTACCCCTTAGAACTGCTAGGCACGTTCAGTGTGCAAAGGGTTTTGTGGTTTTAGTGTTGCGCTTGGCCATAAAGGGTTTTTATTCTTTAGCATGCTTTGCAGAGAATATTCACACTTTAGTGAGTATAATAGGATCAACTGAACATGTACATAGTATTCCTTATAATCAGGTTTAAGGCACAATGTAAAACTCATGAAGATATTATTTTTTGTGTGATGACATACCCCTCAACTTCCCCTTCTAATGTATCATAAGGACCTCATATGTTGAATATACCTGACTGATTTGCTATTTTAACTATGGTGGTTTATCCTAAACATGAGGTATTTTCATGTTACAGTCGAACATTCTTGTCGATCATTGGTGGAGTTGTTGCTGGAATCTGGGGATTCACAGGCTTGACGGGATTTGTCTTCTACTTTCTGATAATGATGGTTGCATCTATTGGGCTCTTAGCGAAGTCAAAGTTTTCAGTCCAGACATACTTCGATAGTTGGACTAGGATTTCAATTGAAGGAGTTTTTGGTGGTCTTATGGTAAGCCTTGTTTACTGCCATGTCATATTCTGTTGCTTATCATGTTGTTTAATGATGTCCTAATACAGTGCAATTTCCTTTGCAGTCATTTGTGCTCTTCTGGACGTATCCTTTTTCTTTGATAATTTATAAACAGTCTTGTCCATACTCCATTTCTGTTCTTCATGTGCTTATATAGATAGGCTGAATATTGCATACAGCTGGGATGGTAAACCAACATATTCATACTCTACTGGTTGCATATTGGGTAACATACTGCTATTATCTAGTGACTGAAAGCCTACCAACGAATATTTCAGATTTCTGCTTACTGCTGCCATCAAATTTGTCAAGGTGGAATATAAATGAAAATTCAATATTTTAGACAATCATACAAACCAATCCCTGAACCAGCAAAGCAGTTTATTTTCCTAATCACTAAACATGTTTATGCATCTTTCCTGTATATATTCAACTGTTTCAGTGTTGGTCCTTTTCTGCTTGAGTTCATCCTTGACGAGAGATATAGATTTGCTTATGACATTGTTCACATCTTCTGATGGACATAGAAGATCTACTCTCCAAAGAAAATGCGGAATTTCATATGACGTTGAACATTCCCAATGGACTCTTGTACACTCAATTTTTGTATTGGTAATTGATATAATCTTTAGTGAGACTATCAATGTAGACCTAAGCAAAGCTCATGAACTGATGTAGCAGTTCCTTTCCTTGGATGATCTGTAGCAGTTGCGATTTGTCATTTCCAGTAATGAATATAAACTTTGATTGATGGACACTCAGATTTTGCTGGCACAATCATGTGAAATGAATTCATCTCCTGTTTTATTGGCGCATTGTCCTCAGGTTTGTGTTATGTTTGCTATTTGTGGCGGTACACACTATGTCGATGCTTCAACTGACAGCCATGTTATTTCCAGATCAAAATGCCTTGCCTTAATGAAGCTGCTCGGCCTGCTTAGCGTAGCTCAGTCCTGCCCAATCTAACAGAACCCATCTCATCTGAGAGGGTTATCGGGCCGAAATGTTTAAATGGGCCTAAGCCCAGAGCCAAGCTTCCAAACGCGTCTTCCTCTCCCCATGCCGCATCCCGCAGCCAGAACCCTAGCCTCGTCGCCATGGCCGCCTCCTTGCTCCGCTCCGGCCACCGCCTCTTCCTCTGCCGCCATCGCCTTTCCGCGGCATTCTCCACCGCTGCGGCCGAGGAGCTCATCGACGTCCGCAAGCTTCCCACTGACTACGACCCCTCCACCTTCGACCCGTCCTCCCCCTCCCGCCCGCCGCCGTCCGACCGCGTGTGGCGTCTCGTCGAGGAGGTCTCCTCCCTGACCCTCGCGGAGACCGCCGCTCTCTCCTCTCTCCTCCTCCGCCGCCTCGACATCCCCTCCGCACCACCCATCGCCATCCTCAACTCCGCCGCGGGGCTGGGCGGCGGCGGCGGCGCCACGGCCGGCGCGGCGGGGGAGAAGGCGGCGGCGGCAGCCGAGAAGACGGTCTTCGAGCTGCGGCTGGAGGCGTTCGACGCGGCGAGCAAGATCAAGGTGATCAAGGAGATCCGGTCGTTCACTGACCTGGGGCTGAAGGAGGCCAAGGAGCTGGTGGAGAAGGCGCCTGCGGTGATCAAGGGCGGCGTATCCAAGGAGGAGGCTGAGGCGATTGTTGAGAAGATGAAGGCAGTTGGCGCCAAGGTCATTATGGACTGATCAAAACAAGCCTTTTCAGTGGTGAGATCCGGCAAATTTATGCTCCATTTCAGATCAACTTTAGGTGCAAGGAGGGATGAGTGGCTTGTGGACAATTCTTCTCTATGAACTTGTGGAAATTGTTGTGGCACAGCACAAATAGGTTTTCAAGCACGTTAATCAAATGAACTGTGATCCTGCAATGCTATAGGGTATTGTATCAATCACTCATCATTATATATGTTGTGGGATGGAAAGGAACTATTTCATTGCTATTTGCTATGAAAGATTTTGTTGTGGGGCTAAAATGACCTAGTTAGTTATACTGTTCATAAGCTGTTGTTCGCTTATGCTGAAATTTGGCTTATGCTGATGCTTATGCTGAAATGTTGTGAGAGGAAAACACTGTTCCGTGGCTGAAAAGTAGTGCTGAATAAGCTCAAGCGAACACCCGATAACATTTTGATCTTGTTTCTGTGAATTCACATACCGTTTCTTACTGCATACAACTTAGTTGTTGACTGTTGCTATGTGCAGGTGCTGTTGACAGTCTTAGTTTGTATCCTTTTCATGTCCGCCAGCTCCATGCGCTTCTCTATTCTCAGGGTTGATGCTGCATGCTGCTTGGTTCGGCACTGTTACTGAAATTTTGAGGCTCAACGGTCTTCAACTATTAATGCCATGATGTGTTTCCTCTTATTCTGTTGAGGAATAGCCTTCACTAACAGGAAACATGGAATAAATTATTTTCAAAATTGAGATAAAAGGCATGCACAGTTGGAGTATTACATCATGTGTAGTTCTACTTCTGGACTTATGGTTGGCAAATGTTTGTATGCCTATATTCTGGTTGATGTCATGCCCCTGTCTCCCCTGTCTCCTTATCTATCCTCTGTATCTCTGCAAAGATATCATATGAATTGGTGCCCAGTGCTCCAATGTAACCATGTTGTGGCTCATGATTTACATTCAGTACCTTTTGAGAGATATATCATGATTTGGGAACAGAATATCTTTCTCAAATTTTAATCCTTTGTTGTGTGGTAATCTTATGCTGGTGATTTGAACTTTTAAGTTCACCGGATCTTAGGGCCTGCATGGCTTAGGCTCCTGTAGCAACTTCTGCGGAGGAGCCGGATGAGCTCTACCAAACACTTTATGAAGACGAACCATTTTCTGGTGAACAACAGAGGAGCTGGAGCTATTTTTAAGCCAGGAGCTGGAGCCACCAAAAGTGGTTGCTTCTCGGGTGCTCATGCCTACCAAACAGGCCCTGGCTGATGATTTCTGTGGTTGATAAGCCGGCTGATGCTATTTTGTTGTGAGAAAAACACTATACCATGGCTGATAAGCCGGACTGATAAGTTTATGCGAAGAAGTTTGTTTTCCGGCCAGTTTTTTCCTAGGGCGTGTCTAGCGCCCAAACGTCCGAACGCCCGCGCCACTGCCCCCTGTCTCAAGTCTCGCGCCTACCGACCCACGTCTCGGGTGCTGCGCCCACCCACAAACACGTGGGGCCCGCCTGCACTGATGGGGACCGCCTCTGCCTTCCTGCGCCTGACACCAAGGTGTGATAGCAAAAAGGTGAGGAGGGAGATGCACTTGATCTAGTTTTAGAAACATCCAAATGCAACAATTGCAACATACACCGAGGCGAGACGGCAGAAAGGCGAGGAGGGAGATGCAACACTTGATCTAGTTTTGAAACATCCAGATGCAACAATTACAACATACACCGAGGCGAGACAGCATAAATGCGAGGAGGGAGATGCGACACTTGATCTAGTTTTGAAACATCCAGATGTAACAATTACAATATACGTCTGAAAACAATTGAAACATGCGTCTGAAACACTTGCAAAAACACTTAAAAAACACTTGAACCATTGTAAACATACACAACATGCAGATAAAACACTTACATCATATGTGTGAAAACATATGCAGCATCCAGATAAACACACTTGCAATATACGTTAGAAAAAAAGATGAAACATTGAGAATAAGAGCTTGCAACATACGTATATAACCATTGCAACATGTGCAACATCCCGATCTACTTTTGCAACATCCGTATGAAAATACAACATACTGCTTGCAACATACGTGCACAACTATTGCAACATGTGCAACATCTCGATCTACTTTTGCAACATCCGTATGAAATGCAACATACCTCTGAAACATTTGAAACACTTGAAACAGACGTTTGCAACATGCATTTTTCACCGTTCTTCCGTACGATGAAGCGCAGCTGAGGATGGTGGCGCGGCCTGGTAGCGGCTAGTTGCGCCTGCACCTGGCTTGGCCCTGGCCAGCGACGGCCCCCCTCCCCTGGCTGCCTTGCATAGGCGCAGCGAAGGACGGAGCATGGCGGGGGACGGAGGCACCGCTACACTTGCCGAGCATGCGCATGGAGCGAGACGGAGGACGAGGCACCGGCGACCGGGTCCAGCGGCAGCTGCAGTCGGTGGGGCGGCTGGCAGCATACCTGACGCGGAGGATTCCTCCTCTCCGCGGGAGATGGAGGTGCCACGGGGATGGGGGGCGTCGCGGGGAATGGCGACGGCGGCGGCGCGTCGGAGGGGCCGCGACGCGGCCACATGGCGCCGTGAAGCCATGACACACTAGCCCGTGGGGATTTGATTTTTTTCTTTTTGGAGAGCGGTGCATGCGGCAATGAGTGCACTTAATGGTAGCATTACCGTTTTTCCTAAGGAAGAGAACTCATCACAGCTGGTTTATCTACAAATCTGCCTAAATGTCGTGTTATCTGTGTTGCCTCAGTTAATAATCGACACTTACAAGTCATGCGGAGCACCGAGCACGCACGTTAGCTCCTGCATCGGCCGTTTGCCTTCACCGAGCGCATGGTGAGTCGACGATGAGCTGCTGGCGCAGAAAACAATGGACCAACACTAGGGTCACACAAAAGCAGGGTACAGACATACAAAGTTGCAAAACAATGGACCAACATCAGGGTCACACAAAAGCAGGCTACAGACATGCAAAGTTGTAAACTGTGGTTATCATCATGCCTTATGTTTCTGATACAATTGTCCCATTGTTTCAACAAACAACAGCAAGCACGAACACAGACACTGGTCAGAGTTCAGCGAGTTCCCTGTACATTCAGTTCAGAGACCAGAAAGCAAGGCATCATAAACCTGTTCCAAGAGGGGCTTCTTTCTCTACAAGATCTTGCCCGCTGCGTCTTTACAAGGGATCAGATGACTCGTGCGAAAATTAGAACAAATTCGATCCATCCGATTCCAAAGGTTCCTTATCTGACGGCTCATCGCTGAAAACTCTCTCCCTTGCCTTCTCAGACTGCAAAGACGGAAACAGGTCAATAAGCTATAAATCATTTTTCTTCCTGTGGTCACAGCGTTGATAAGGGGGCAAAAAAAAAAAAGGCTTGCATAGGTTTATAGAAAGCACAAACCATCTTCTGCCAGTTGCTGAAGAATGTTATAACGGCAAGAAGTAAGAACTGCACTATGGAGCCGCAGGAAATGCCCATCCAAAGCCCTTTCGCCTCCATCTTCAGAACAAAACCGAGGAAGAGTGCTGTTGGAATCCCAACGAGATAGAACGAGCCCAGGTTGACATAGGCGCCCAAGTGTTGCCACCCGCATCCTCGGGCGATACCTGATGATCACAAAACTAGAAGGGTTAGCATTTAACACCAATGTATCCTGAGAGGAACATAGAGGACATGAACAATCAGAATGCTTCTGTTGTGAAGTACAGTGGTGTCAGTCATCAAGCATTACAAAATGACAGCCACACTCTTGCGTGTTGTTTTAAGTTCAGATCGCTATTCACGTGCCCAAACACTCTTCAGAAGAAGAAGTAAACCAAAATATGTAGCAGACAGAAATACCACTAGTAGCTAGGAGAAAAGGTGTAATTTGCATACATAGTGATGTGGAGCCTGCTTACGGTAACATCTCTGCTAGATGCGTGTTGATGAAAACACCGGCATCCATGTTCACGTAAGAGCCCATTTTCGAAGGAACAAACAAGTAACTCCCCAAGTAACAAAATTTTGCTTCCACAACACAGAATAGCATTAGTATCGTGGAATAAAGTAAAAACAGAAGCGGCATCTTACCTGGTATGAAATTGGTATGACTGACAAAAACATTAATGGTCACTTGCCACCTGACAGGGCTTGTTACCGAAATTGAGAAGAGCACGCAGATTGAATTATGCAGATCAATCTATGGGTAAAAGGTGTAGTAATTTGGTGTAAAGAGCAAAAACAAATTGTTTCATAACTTCACAGGTATAATTGGAAGATGTCTTTTCGAGGTTCAAAAAGCAGGAAAATACTTTTCCTTTGTACTCTTTGGATGAAGAGAAAGACAGATAAACAATTTAAGAAAGTTAAGAGATGTAACCTGATAGAACACCTTGTAGACTGTCAGCAGCAACAGAGACGCACACAAAGGGAACCATTGCATTGACATACATGACAACATCCTTATCGCTGCTATATGCATAGCCCAAGATGTGCTGTGACGCTAACAATATAACTGTGATTATAACTGCTTCCATCACTGCAATACACATGACAACCCGAACAGATGATCGAGCTCCTTCAGGGTTACCACCACCCAATTCATTTGCTACCCTAGTGCTGCTCATTGGACAACATAAACGAAGTTAATTGTGGCTTTGTATTGATATGGAAGTAGTATCTAGGAGTGGTTAAGCTTCTTCATACCTTGCAGCCGCTCCAAGCCCATAAGGTATAGTATACATTAACGAGATAGTCGTCAAACTGATGAAGAGAATGCAAATACTTTTAGAAAAAAGCAATGTACTGCAACTGCACGTTACTGTAGATGTGAAAGTACTTACCAGATTGAAAGAACTGAAGTTTGCAGCTCTGGATTTGGTAAAATCCCTGAGACAAGAATAAGGATCTCAAAAGACCACCATTCGAAACTATAAAATTGTGGAATAGAATTCATTAACCCAATATGGAATCTTACACAGAAGAAGAGAAAGAAGCTTGTTCCCTAAAAAAAAAGAGAAAGAAGCTTAAGAACATCACTATACTTACCACAACATCAGTGCAGATGGCAGAGCTAGGCGTAGAAACACACCAACTCCTTTGAAAGCCTCAACAGTAGGAGGTGAGCGGGTTTCCTTACAAGAATTCGAATATCTGATGTAAGCAGCAAGCATAATCACATTTAACCAATATGACAAGCTTATCGCCAAAGAAGCTCCAATATACCCCAAACTGGTCTTGAACACTAATAACCAACAAAGAGGAATGTGCAAGAGCAAAGTTGCAATGGAGGACCAAAGCATAGGAAATATCAGACTCTGAGACTGTAGAAATTTTGTGAGAGGCTGGCTGATGGCGTATGCAAAGAGACCTGGAATCAGCCAGGCTATGTATCTCCCAGCTTCCTTTGAGATCAAGGGGTCCTGACCTATGAGGATCAGGAGTTTGCCTATGAATGCCCACAGAAGTGAAATTGGAATGCTCACAACAATGAGTGTGACTATAGCTCTATAGGTGTGCATCCCCAGTTTGTCATACTGTTTTGCCCCATAGGCTTGACCGCATAGAGTTTCCAATCCACTTGCCATCCCAATCTGTTTTATAAGCACAAAAGTTAAGTTATGGGAAGAACAATAATATTGGCTTACAGGAAGAACAATAATATTGGCAATAGTTTCATTAGATCAGAATTCAGATCAGAAGATAGTTGCACAAAGATAAAAAAAATGAAGACGATGCTATTAGTTGTGCTAAATACGTGGTTACGCCAGAAGTGCTGGATAAGGAGAGCAAGTTTTTACTTGAATGAAGCATAAGTTGCTATTTTTTTTACTGAAAAGCATAAGTTGCTTGATGTACCCCTCGCAAGAAAAAGTCTGCTTCATGTGCCACCATTCTGCAAAGATTTATTTTAGTTGACGAAATCATGAAGGACTAACCTGCCATGCATGCATGCAAACAATTTCGGCAGAAGCATCTAGATACTTATATATTCAATAAGCTAAACCTGTATAACTTGCCTTTACAGATATATACAGTTCCTTTTTCATCAAAGAAGCTATAAAGCTTGTATCTAAAATTTCCGATGCCAGTTTCTAAATACGACGCGATGTTGAAGAATCACTGTGTAATTTCAAGGGTCCTTACCGGCTACCATGCTACATTAGATCGGAACTGTGAATACAATTCCTTCTAAATACGCTAGTTCCTTTTTTTTTTGTTCTCAGATTCTGTAATCACAGTAGTTACGGATTTTGAAGGAATTGTGAACTCAGCTAACATGGGGACAGGACAGTAAAACGCTTGTGTAACAAATTTAAGCACGAAGGAGACGAGAAGGCACGGTGTGCGTAATGTGAAACGTACGAGGAGGCTGAAACCGGAGACGGTGGCGAGGGAGGTGGCGATGGCGGAGGCGGAGAGCGGGAGGACGCCGGGGAGGTGGCCGACCATCATGTTGGACGCCACCTGCACCGCGTACTGCGACACGCTCACGGCCGCCATCGGCAGGGCCACGCAACCGACCTTGCCGGCCTCCCGCGCCAGCAGGTCCCTCCACCACCTCACGCCGCCGCCGCACTTCTCCTCCCGTCCGTCGCCGTTCCGCAACGTGTACTGCGGCAGAAGCGGCACCCTCTCTTCCATGGCGTCGACTCGTCGCGCGCTTCTCTCTCCCCCCTGCTTCTTCTCCCCTCTCGAGGAGTCGTTCGTGTCTGCGATTCGAGTGTCTGGATGGTGGGCGTGGTGGCGGTGGCGGTGGCGGGGGGGCTTCTTAACGGAGACGGACTCGCGCTGTCAGCGGCGGGTGAACAGACGGGATTCTATATACGAAAAATAATGATTTCTGAATATATATATATATATATATATATATATATATATATATATATATATATATATATACACACACACACATATTTTACCCGGCGTGAATTAAAAGTGTATTTGTGCACCTGACCACCTGTCTTTTGTTTCCAAATTATTTTTGCTACATTTTTTTTCCAAATTATGAGCATGTTAAAAAAATGTTTTAGAGTAGTTCCCCATCCAAATGTAATGTTTTGCAAGAGTGGAGTGAAATATTCCATCTCCACACCTAGATTTTTAGCTACACCAATTCTATCTAGAAACACCAACATGAACACTGTAACTCTTCTAAAATCCTGTATAAATTGATAGTAACTAAAACTGAGTAGCAAGAGAGAAGACTTTCACCCGATTAGTTACACAAAATTTACTTTGAAACTATAGCAAAATAATCATTATAACTCCAGTATACACTGAGTGTCAATTTAACATAATTTAATAGTAACTAAATTGATGTGTGGTTGCACCCGAATCTTAGTTTTACTAAAAAAACGAAGAAAAAAAAAACAGGTTTAGAATAGGTCTGTTTTGAGATTGATGAAATCATTACAGGCACCTCATCATTAGGTCACACACGAAAGAATAACAACATTAAATCATGAAATAAATAAATCAAAAAAATATAAACGCTCACATCAAGTCGAGAACTTGAACTTTGTTGGAAAATTCCACCACAAAGAACACAAGTTGAGCTACATTCAATTCACAAAAGCATGTATTTTTCTTTTTCTCAGAAAACTAATCAATTTCGCGGTTGGACAGAAATGCAGTTCTTTACATTCATGAAAACATTGGTCTTTTTCAATATAAAATTTCCGTTTTATTTAGAGCAAATTTTTGTCTATTAGATGTGATCGGATGAGATGCATGCACACACAACTACACAACCAGGTGATACTCATTTTATTTACACGTTAGATTAGAGTACCTCAACATCGCCTTAAAACTATTTCATAGTCCCTATTGTAAAAAACCAACCCTACAATAATGTTTTATCTGAATTCTATGAAAATAAACATTTGATAAATCCATCCCTCAACTTACAAATATGCATATGCATTCAACGCTGCTATCGGTCCGGACGCCCCTCCTCCGTGGTTTTCACGCGGGTTTTCTCTCTCTCCAATTTTTGAGTTTCAAAAGGCTAACTATTGGGGAAAAACAAGAAAGACAATGATATGGCTCCATGTTTGGTTTGTTTACTTGACACTATTATTAGTTTAACAAGTAATTTTTAAAGAACTTTTGGAGATGCCATCCTGGGCATGTGCTTAGTCTATATTGTGCTAACTAAAGTATGTAAATAAAGAATATATTTAAAAATTATGTAAATAAAGAGTATATCTACATTAGTTTAACAAGTAAGTTTACTTTAGTGATCACAAAAAAGCGCCTCTATTATTGTGCTAACTAAAGTATGTAAATAAAGAGTATATCTAAAAGTTTTTTGGTGAGATATCCAGAGTATTAATCTATATTATCTTAGACATTTTCCCATACATGCACCCATCTTGTTGTACATGGATCACAATTCACATGTTCACCCTAATCAAATGCATCGGAAGGCTGATCCGTGAAGGTGGCTCTCAACTGCCTCTATCTAAATAAAATACTTATAAAAAAATGCTAGTAACAATCCAAGTCTACATTATACGTCTAATCTTACTATTTGCGTTCTGTACTAGGCTTGAGCCTATAGCTTGAGGTCACAGCGTTATTCGGGCACCAAAAAAAAAATTTAATCCACGTAGCTAGCATCATAAACTCTAACGATGAGAAAAGAAATGCCAATGAAGCCATCAGTCAGTGAGTATGACATAAAATTGAATTGTCCAAGATGGTATAGGATGCGACTCTTATATCGAGGTTGTAGCGATGAGAAGACATGTCAATGAAGCCATCAATAAATGAGTATATGTCATAAAATGGAATAGATAAGAACGTACTCCCTCCATATTGGAAATTAAAGTCATTTTAGGGATGGAAGTTTTTGCACAATGAAGTCGTTTTAGCTCTTGTAACCATCTTTTGGACATGAATGCCCCTGGGCGTCTGGTAAAAATACCGCGCCAGTGAGGGATCAAAACTTGATCCTCTTGCCTCGGGCCTCGCTGCGCTAACCACTCCAGCTACAAACGTTTGTTGCATGAGAGATACCCGTAACCCTATTTAATAAGGATAAACCTGAAAAAATACACCTTAATTCATCATTCCTTGATATGCTAAATTATGTCCAAAACAACCTGAATTAACTGTATGAAGAGAGTACCATATATCTGAGGTTGTGGCGTCCGTCAAATATAAGAGTAAGGCATAGCTTACAATTTGCTAATGGTGGAACACCTACTTTGATAAATGATAAAACACTAATAAAGTCATCGATTCGATAGTATAACACGAGAGTAAAATAGATGTGAAGCGTGCATGGTATGTTGTATACTTGTATTAGAGCTGAACATCATGATGGCCGCGTAATTAATTGACCCCACTAATTAGATTTATGTTTGAACTTTGAACCCGAGAATTTCTGAAAAAAGAGGGGGCGCGGCACATGCATGTACGCCTTTTATGATCTGAATAAAAGGGAAACTGGCGAAGTACAGCACAGATTTGCATGACCACTGCCGTGGCATTTTGTTTGGTCGGCACCTTTGTCAGCTTGGCGTGGTTGAAATTGTTCCTTTCCTTCGTCTGTTCCGGGACAGAGTTTCCCGTTCGGAGACGTCACTCACTTGTTTATCCGGCCGTGCGCAGATACAACGGATATGCTCGGTGCAGGACAAGGAATGAAAACCGGCGGCGGCACCAACTTGCTGCCATGGCGCTCATGGTTAGTTGCACGCAGATGAGCAGATGCTTCTCCATGCATGTTGCCAATGATGTCAGTTGTCAGTCAGGATAACTACGATCCTAGTATGCATGGTTTTGGAACTCCGGCCTGTTCGTTTTCCCTGTAATCTGTTTTTTTCAGCTTTTTTTTTAGCAGTGTTTTTTCTCTCACAACAAATCAACTGGAACAGTGTTTCGGTTGTTTTTTTCAACCGAAGCGAATGGGCAGAGATGTCTCACTAGAAACAGAAGCAGCATAGAAAACAGTGCGTGTGTTCGTCTCTTGTGCACCGCAGACACCAGCGCTAGCTGCAACCGCCGGCGCAGGCGGTGACGGTGCCACCAGGATTCAGGAAAACAGACGGTGTGTAGCCGCTATCTATCCACGATTATATATATATAAATAAAAAAGAAGCCAGGTAAGCATGTCGATCCATGCAGAAGCAGATCGAATTTCTAAAGCTTCAGAGAAGTGGAGCAGGATTGCCGATGTGATACTGACAACAAATGTGCCAAGGTGATTTCCTTGCCGAATGGTACTCTGCCTTCTGATGAAGTGGAGTAGAAGGCATGGAGTATCTGTTTGTCGCTGGTGCACCCACAGGAAGACAGTAGCAAGTAGCAGCCGGGGCGGAGGTGCCATCGGCGTTCAAAGAAACGGGCTGCCTAATGTTGGTTTTCACTTTTCAGAAACGGTCAAAATAGATGGGTTTTTTGGCTCCTATATACACATATACACAGTCTAACAATAGTTTTCATAAGGTTTAATTAAATATTTTGATAAATGATATATTTTTATGACCGGATAAAGTAGCTTGTAGTCTTGTAGTAGATGACAAAAGCTGTTTCGACAGAATGGCCCATTTGATCAGGCAGAGATCTCTCCAGCCACGCCCTTAACCCAGTGGCATCCAGACGGAAAAGCGTGTACCTATGACGACTCATAACCGACCTCAATAATCGAAGAAGTCAGCTAAGCATGTCGCTTCATAAAAAAAGCGCCATCAGTTTCCTGAAGCTTCAGAAATGGTACGTAGCCATAAAGACAGAAACACAGGACGAGAAAAAAGCATGACCCTGTTTTCTTCTTCTTCTTCTTTTTCTTTTTGCGAGGGAACGATCACAAATTCTCAAGGAACCAGAATCGGTTTCTTTGTGCTCTCCTCGCTTCAAGAATATCAAATCCAGGCATCAGCTGGACATTTCAAAGTTCAAACTCGTACACCCTCTTCTTTGACGAATCCGCGTATGGTTTTGCAGAAGTTCGGGGCGTCTGGAACGCCTAGTCTTGCATGCAAAATCTCAAACTCGTACCGATCCAGAGGAGGGAAAGAGAAATGTTCATGGGGTGGTCGTCGTTTGAAATTCCGACCACCCTCTTCTCTGGTAACTGAACACCGAGCACAGCTGCACATAATCTACACTAAAGATCATCACAAAATATTCTGTAAATGACTAAAAATAGTGCAATTGGCTCATCGTCATGGATTTTTTAACATTTTTTTTAAACTATTTCCAAATTTGACACTATTTATTTCTTATTTTTAAAATTAACACTTTTGGCCGCGCCTATTGTCCTGGCATAGCCAAACCACATTGCCGCGCCATGCATGGCGGCACGGTAGCTTGAGTGATGTGGCAGTGGACCCAGCCGCTAACTGCTGATGTGGCAGGCGCCGCAGATCTTGGCGCGGCAATGCCGTGCCATGCCACGTAGCGCGGCAAGGCCCAACACAGGCCCACGCCGCCGGATCCTCTGCCCATCCCTCTTTTACTCTCTCTCACTCGCATCCCTCGACGCGCCACCACCGCCCCCCTCGCTCCCTCCACGCACCGCCGCCACGCCCTCGCTCCTGGACGCGCCGCCGCCGTTTCCGCTGCTCATGGCCACCGCCGGCCGCTCCCTGGCCTCCTCTCTCCCTCCCCACAGCCCTCCCCGCTCTCCCTGA